ACCACGACCACTACCACGACCACTACCACTACCACTACCACTACCACTACCACTACCACTACCACTACCACTACCACTACTACTACTACTACTACTACTACTACTGTACTACTACTACTATTACTACTACTACTACTACTACTACTACTAGTACTACTACTGCTACTACTACTGCTACTTCTACTGTGACGAAGAGTACTACCACCAAAAACAATGGTACTAGTTACTAGTATACCCTAAACCCTGAACCCTAAACCCTAAACCCTGGTACTCGTAGCAACAATAAGCCAAAGAAGCGAAGCTTCGCCTTCCAGTCCACGAGTCTCAGGCTTGGGCTGCTCGACCGCCAAACCGCCGTCTTTGTGCTTCCGGGTGCCGAAGAAGGCCGGGTGCATCTTAGGGTTTAGGGTTTAGAGTTTAGGGTTTTAGGGGTTTAGGGTTTAGGGTTTAGGGGCAAGTTTAGGGTTTAGGGGCTGTGCATCTTGTGCAGAGGTGTTTCGGAGATCGGATCAAACTGGATGCCGGAAGCTTCCATGATGTGTGTGGGATGTTGGCTTGATGCAGGTGACCTGCTGAGCAGCCAATGGGAGAAGAGGTTGGTGATATGGTTGATGGTAGAAATCCTGCAGTATATTAGGGACCCTAAACTATGGGAATTGTGGTATATTCCTTATTATGGGTAATGCAGGGTTTATATCATCAACCGTAGTTATGAAGTGGGGCTCTTTGGAGACACTGGCAAACTGGCAATTCTCTAAGGTGCAGTATCCCCAACATCCGACACACCCCCAAACCGTAGACCCTATGTCAAACTAAGCCCGAAGCCCCCACGCCTCTAAACCCCTGAACATGAAACCCGCCCTTAGCCCTTGCGAGTTCTAATATGCCAGAATGGTCGTATGCTATGATATATTGTGATATACTGCAATATACTGCAATACGATATTTTTCTACAATATCTTAAATGTACTATGATATACTTTGATCTACTATCTGCGAAGGTGGGGCGACCCTGGCTTAGACCACAAGTTCCCCGAGGACTGGCTCAAGGCCCCACTTCGGGCTTTAGGGCTTTAGGGTTTTAGGGTTTAGGGCATCAGGGTTTGAGGATTAAGGGTTTCGGGTTGTAGGATCTAGGCTTGAGGGACTCTGTTCTCCTGACAGGTCGGGGCCGGATCAGGCCGGGCCGGCTTCCATGGCGTGCGTGCGGGAAAAGTCGGGCTTTTGCGGCCTTCGAGGTGGACTGCCGTGGTTGCTGAATGAGTACAAGGAGCACCTCCAGGCTCGTCTATAAATCCGAAGCCGAAGCCGTATATCAAACTATGAGTCATGGTGGACAAAGCATGCAGAGGCTTCTCCCTCGAGCATTCGCTTGCCCTTCACCTTGCAAGGGCCTCGTTTCACACAGCGCTGAGCTCAGTGCTGGGAGTTGGGAGTGAAAGGCAGTACGAACCTGCTGCTGACATGGCATCGGAGGCTGGTTCCAATCTTAGAGCCCTTTTTCCATGCGGTGCAAGCTTGAACCGAGATGTGTGGACAGGAATTGAGCTTGGAGTGCCCGCGTCAACTCTTCTCCCTGGAGTTGCCTTGAACCCAGAAACCTGCACAAACTGAGAAGTCGCACCTTTCGTGCCGACAGCTGATGCATGCTGTCATGAATGCGTATGGCACACATCACCACGTTGCCAACGCAAGGACGTTCTCCTCCAGCGAGCATTTCGTCCCAATCGAGCCAATTCGTATTCCGCCGCTTTGCCGCAATAGCTAACAGAAGCGCACCCACATGTGTGGAAGCAACAGCGACACCGTCATGCTGGCAATGTGCGCGGCTAGTCGGTCATGGGCGCATTGGATAATGTGGATGGCACACGCGTCAAGCCGCAAACGCGATCAGGTTTATTGCTGCTGACGGTGGTCTGGTGGTGGCTACTTGGCTTTCAGACGATGTCAGAAAGTCAGAAAGCAAGCTTTCACTATCCTGCGCTGGCTCCGGCTGAGGATGGCGACGACGGAGATGGTTTTCCATGCTTGTCTTGCCGCCATGTTGTAGTTGAGAAACTCAGGGGTACCAAGTACACGTGCAGCTGTGCTCCTGCGTTGGGCCAGGAATAAGCTGCTCCTGCAGCTTCGGCCCCTCAGCCCAGTACCAACGTCCTTTGGGGCAGCTTGCTTACGAACCTGGCGACAATCCCCATTTGTTTCGGATGAGTTGATCAGATCTCCTCAGGTGAACATCGCCTTCAACGACAGCTTAAGCCAGATGTACTTAGGCTCCCCCTCTTCGAAGTCGAGTCCGTATACGGGGCAGCCTCGCAATATCCCAACGTTGGGTCCCTGCTAGGACAGCTCGAAGCCTTCGAGGTTGCCTTCCAGGTCTCCAGCCAAAGGGCAGAGTCAACTTGAAGATCTACGCCCATGTGTGATTACACGTGTGTGTGTGTGTGTCCGTCCTTATTGAAACTCGCCGTGTGCTCGCAGCGCACAGAGAACACTCATGGAGAGGGTTGCAAGATCCTGCAAATTTATGTGCAGGCATTGTTCGGGGGCTGCACGGCTCCGCACGGCAATGTACAACGTGAGCTCAAACAGGGAAGCAAGAAGGAGACCCGTCAACCCGTCAACCAGTCGCAGCCGTCATTAGTCGAAGGCATGGCGCAAGCCGACAGCGGGCCGCTGACCATGGCGGGAAGGGAGCTGATGCGGAATCGCATCATCGCCCAGAGCGAGGCCACCGACTTGGCGGTGGGAAAGCCTGGGGAAGATCCCCCGGTCTGGCTGGAGAGCAGCGACTGGCGCTTGAAGCTGGGCGCTGCGTCGGCTCTGAGCCAGAAGGGTGCGCCCCAGTTGGCCGGCGCGCCGGAGATCCGAGCTGCGCTGGAGTCCTCCGAGGAGGCTCGGCAGCTCATCCGAAGGACGCTTTCCGCCGCCTCCGAAGAGACCGGGCCCAGAGCTGTACAGTTGCTGCAAAGCGAGGACTCGAGACTTCGGAGGGGGGCCCTTGAAGCGCTGCGGTTACAGGACGCGCCTGCTTCAGAACTGACGCCACGCATCGCGGAGCTCTGCGTCTGCGATTGTTGTGCTGAAGTGAGAGATGTGGCAGCCAGTGCTCTGAGACGGCAAGCTACGGAAGACGTGGTTGAAGCACTGGCTGCCTCACTGAATGCCACAGGAAACGAATCTTCGGCTTCTCGAGTTGCTGAAGACCTTCTGGTTGAGCTCCTGGGAAGTGCACAGGACTCCCTCTCAAAGGTTCCAGGCTCCGCCTACTTTGCCGAGCTTGCGCGAAAGGACCAGGAGCAAGCGAAAGCAGCGGCTGCAGAGCAGCAGGAGCAGGAGGAGAAGTTGCGAGAGCTTCAGGATCAGCAGAATGAGCTTCAGAAGCTTCAGCTGCAATGGCTGGATTTGCTCCCAGCCAAGCAAGTCACGGAGATCGAGCAGTCTCGAGAGGTCTTCACGGAGTCCAAGGCCCCGAGGCTCCAGGAGGCCCAGGCCCGGAAAAGGCGGGCTCGGCGTGGAATGCGGGACTCGGCTGCACAGGGCTCTGAGATGCGAACTTCAGAGGCCAGAGAGCGGTCCAAGGAAGACTTCTGGGTGGAGCAATCTGCAGGCCTCTTGAGGGAGGCCGAGGAATTCCGGTCCCTTGCACCAGAGGAGCTTCTGGAAGGGTCTCCGAAGCTCTTGGAGTGGATGGCAGCGAGAAGCACGGATGGAGTCTCCTCGCACTTGCGCCGAGTGGCCACCGAGCTCTTGGGGAACCTAGGCTCCCTGGCAGGGCCAGAGCATCACGACGCATTACGTCAGCTCATGACCTCGGAGGATGCGCAGCTCCGAAGACTGGCTGTCCAGGCTCTTGGAAAGCTGCGATCTTCCGACTCTGCGGCTGAGGTGGCGAAGCTGCTTGCGGATTCGGACTCCAATGTGCGGCGGGCAGCAGGTGTTGCACTTGCACAGATGGGGGCTCCAGCTGCCGCATACATTGCAAAGCAGCTTCTGAGCTCGGATGCAGAAGCCCGGAAAGGCGCAGAGCGCAGCCTTTTGGCTCTTAAGGTCAGCGAGGGGCAGAGGTACCAAGAGGGCGTGCTGCGACTTCATGCTTTGCTCCCACACCTAGAGCCGCTTCTGGACTCCGAGCTGTCGGAAACCCGATTTGCTGCAGCTTCCGTGATTCACCGCCTCAGAAAGCACGCGGAGCCGGTTCAGACACAGAGCCCGGCGTCTGCTCCAGAAGCCGTCCTTGCCTTGCTCAGCGTGTTGGAGGATCCTTCCGAGGAAACTCGCGTCGCAGCGATGCGACAACTGAGAGATGCGTCGCCGCTTGAGCTTTTGCCCCACTCTGCCACACTGCTGGCTCGATCCTTGGCAGACTCTTCCGAGATGGTGAGGAAACTGGCAGTGGAGGTCGTGGGTGCCTTGCGTGGGCCGTCTGCTGCGGCTGCCAGTGACATCATCATGGGTCTCTTGAAGCACAAGCTCCAGACCGTGCGTCGTGCGGCAGTGGCTTCCATGGAGCGCCTGGGGATGGAGCCACCTGCGCGACACCTGGCACTGCTTGCAGACGAGGACCCCACCCTGCGCTGCAACGCATCCGAGGCGCTGTCAAAGCCCGAGGTGTTGTCTTCACTGGATGACAGAGACTTGGCATCTTTGATGTCCCTGAGCATTGATCCGCACTGGGCGGTTCGGCTGGCGGTCGCCAAGTGCTTATGTGCCTTGAGCCCGGAGTCCCTGCGGAAGCATTACAATCATGCTGTGATCCTCGCTTCAGACTCTGACTGGCGAGTGATGCGCTGTGCCCGACAGGCTGTTAGTGTTGGCGGCCCAGGGTGAAAGCGCTCTAAGGGCGCCGTTCACTCGTTTGGCCGGCATGCCTAATCTGTCTCAAAATCGGGACGGGTCTAGGCAAAGTCTTGCCAAACCGCGGGGCAGATTCTTGCCATGGGCTTGTTGTAAACTTGGAAGCTGGTTCGCGAACGGGGCATCTTGCTCGCTTGATTCTCTCAGCTGCCGGATCGCTCGGACCAGCTTACACAGGATCTCTTTCTTCCAGTCCGCCTTCCTCTCGTGTTTTGGCCGGGTCCTCGGGTTTGCAAGGGGCAAGACTCGAGAGGACCGGCGCTATGGCCTCTTGGCAGGGCTCCTTTGTTCGAGAACCTCTGGGCAAGTCTCGCCGAGCAGCGCCGGCACGTTTGTGACCGCTTGTCTGCGAATGGCCTCTGCAAGCCTGCACGGAGCCTCCGACAGGCCATCCTGGTCAGTCAAGGCCCGTCGGCGATGCATTGATTCATGCCAGCCCGTCATGGCAAGCTGAGGTCCTGGACTTGGAAAGGGGCACCGTGAAGGCGAGACTGTGCATGAAAAGGGCTAACAGCTAAACTTCTGTGGCAGCTGGGGGTCAACTCAGGAGCTGATCCAGACACAGCTTGGACCCTTCGTCGTCCCGGCAGAGGCACGGCATGGCACGGCTCTGCAGAAGCATTGGCAAATAGGAAGTCTGCTCCGCGCAGTTGCGCGGCTCGGTTGCTCAGTAGCCACTCCATCGAACTGCGAAACTAGCAACAAAACACTGCTCCTTGTCCAAGTCCATGATCGCCCTTGTGCCGGGGTAGGCACTGCAATTCGGAAGTGCTACACTGTTGAAAATCCCTTCCAGGGCATACGTACGTATATGACAGTTGCATATTATGTATCTGCGTCGGGGCTTCCCCTGTTACACATTTATAGTGGCCAGTAGACAAGGAGAACCTCTCTACGTCTTCCAAGTACAGTGAAGCACTGGAAGACCATGTAGAAGCAAAGCGGCCAGGAAAAAGAGGAAAAGCTACTCCACGACCTCCAGTCAGCATTCGAAGAGAGGGTAGCACCACAGCAACCAGCAAAAAGAGAGTTCTGTAGCTGTGGCTTCCTCCTCGGGGAGATCCCGGGTTGGCGGTTTGCCAAAATCAGTTGCCCCCATCTGACAGAGCATGAGCACTGCCGTCCGCGGCGATGCCTCGGCCCAGAACTAGCTGCCCGTATCATCCTCTATACTTTTTTGCAACGGGTTTGCCTTGAAGTAGGCTCTGCCTGCTAGGACTACACTGGATTTCGGCAACGGCAACGTAATGACCTGATTTCCGTGTAGCACCAACAAATTGAGGACACATGCAAGGGATGCGTAGAGAGAGAGAGGTGCGAGAAAGCGGATGCATGAAAGGAGCACGAAGACATTCCAAGCGAAAGTTGGAGTCTCGACTCTTGTCGAGAAAGGAGTGGCAAGTAGCAGGGTGGGTCATGGGTTGAACCAACAATAACAAATCGCGCACCCCCCAGGCCGCACGCAAGCGCACCACTGTCGCATGAACGGATCTTCAGGCAGTATCTATTTTCCTTGCGGTGCAAGTCCTGGGTTGTTGCAGGTTCATGTTGAAGATGAAGATTTCGATTTCGAACAAGAGGAGCATCTCTCTCAGCAGTGGATGGGCAGACTCGTCGCCACTTTGATCCTGCTGAGGTACTTCGACAGATGGAACAGCTTGCCCGAAGGTGAAATGGATCTGCCAGAGCAGGACTGCAAAGATGTGAACCTTCCAAGTCTGCAAGCTAGGCCCTGCGGAACAGGAGCAAGATGTGACCGTCAATGTGGACACTACCTTTGCTATCCTGCGACTCACGTCCTGATTGCGAGGGTTGGGGGTCAGCTTCAGAAGTGCTGTGCCATGCAGAACTGACCAACATTGCTCAAATTGCCATGCCTGCCTGCATGCCTGCATGCGTCGGAGGAGGTTCAGACAGTGAGAATATGTTTCCGCCGTAAGAAGACCAGCAGCTGCCAACTTTGGACGATGCTTCAGTAGGTATGATTTTCGACAGCAAAGCAGGCTCGGGTTGCATCATCCTCGTGCCGCAAGACACACTTCTTGTTGCTATGTGGCGCGTGCATGGAATGACTCCAAAAGTCCGACAAAATGTGTGTGCTTTAGCCTTGTACTGGTAAGATACCGGTCGAAAGGGGCACGATGTGCTTGCGCTTGATGCGAGAATTACAGCGTGACGCTTGCAGACTTCCACAAAAACGCAGGTGTCACAAAATATATTATACTACAACTAAAAAGGAACCCCCGCAGCTTTCGATGACGGGATGACAGGGTTCAGACGGGACTCAGAGATGTTGAGAGCTCCAAAGAGCCGCTGGGGCCGAGCGATCGTTGAGTTTAAAATGGCAGACAAATTTCGGGTTTAGGGTGTAGGGATTTAACTGGTTTAAACCCTAAACCCCTGATCGGGTCTTGCCACCGTTGTTTTGTTTTGATGTGAAGCCAAAGACATTTATGATATGTTTGCTGACCCGCAATCGCAATTTGACTCGGGCGTGGAGTGCAATCTATCACAGTGTTCTTGCATGTCAAGTTGGCGTAGCAGAATGCGCTCTGAGTGCAAGCCTTTTGCCTATAGTAAGTAGCTGCAGCTGTTACTCGGCACCAACATCCCAAATGCCAAACATGTCCTGACCACTGCCAGGTTTGTCCCTCCATGCTATCATTTGCTGATGAGGCCTCGCGGTACGCACTGTTTCCTGAATCAAAGCTGAAGTGGCGAGAGATGAGCAAGTCTGTGGGGATGCTCCGGCTCCCTGGGGTGACTGTTGGTCATCGTCGCTTCCTGCAAAAGGTTTGCAATATCGTCGAACTCAACAATTGTGTCTTCGCCCAAGCTGTGCCCGCCCTGTGATGAGAGATGATGCGCCAGTTGAGGCGAATATTGACAGATCGCTTCCAGCTGCTCTCCTACATGGTTTGTCCCTGAGCCTTCTTCACATGGCTGCATCCATGCAATGTCTCAGCTTCAAAACTACTTGCTGCATCAGGACGCCTTCTTCTTGTCTTGGAGTTTGTTGCTTAGTGGACATGCAACAGCAAGAAGGTTTTATTGACTAGGCAATCGATCTCGTTCCTCAGGTCGAGATGCTGCAATGCTCGCCGACCTAAGCCAAGATGTTGACGTGCGGCCAAAAGATGTAACGCGCGTCGGCTGTTCACCCTGCGGAACAGTTTGACAACTTTACCACATAGAAAA